GTTTCTTGTCACCCTCCTACTGTCTTTTCGTACCAGAATCAATCCCTTGGCATCTTCAGCTTTTCTCGAATTTACAAAATTAGATATTTTTTAAAATAAATAATTTAGGTAATTAAATAGAAATAATTTGCATTTATAAAGCTAGAGTGTTTTTAAGTGTGTGATTTGTTTGAGTAGGCACATTATTGACATGTTTGATTCTAAACAGTATGCAGCAAATGAATTGTTAAGAGCGTGTTCGGTAGAGATTAAAATCGGATTCAAATTGAAAAACTAGTCGTTATTGTTGATTTTTATTAGACGAGTGAGACCCAATAACGACTATATTTTTAATTTTAATTGAATTTTAAACTTAAGAGTCGACTTTTCAAAAAGATGAATTAAAATCCAATTAAAATTTGAAGTAATTGGATTTTCAAAAAGATTTTAAACAAATTTGAAGTGATACTCAAGAGTCGACTTTTCAAAAAGATGAATTAAGGCAGTCACTTACAAATATTCATATTTGAAAAATCTTACGAATCATTCTTATATAAGCGATAAAGTTTTCGTACTATTCGCATAAATAATTTGTCAAATGTTTACCACGTTATTGCCAAGTGGATTATTTTCGTTAGTATTGACCAACAGAAGGTAATTCACGTATGGATGTTATATAAATTTGTGAGTTCAAGTATAATTTTAACACAAAACTAAGTCCATATATGATTTTGATATATGGGGTAATGGGTAAAGTTCATATATCATTTGCACATTTTAACCTTTTAAGTGTATTATTAATATTTGTTTTGCTCATATTTATAAACTGTTTATAAATACTTATGTCGTTTTTCATCCACACATTTCAAAGAATCTACAAATGCTATTATCTTATCTATCATTTTTTTACTCTATAATTTAAACGGCTTATAATCACTTTTATTGGAATAAAACATGAAAGCCATGTTTGATCCACATTCTTCTTAAAATTCATTATTTCAAAACTAATTTACAATCGCATATTTTTCAATAAAATAATATTACATGTAAATTCAAAACTTTTCAATATTTTTTAACAGAGTCGTACCTATATTTCATGGGAGTTTGAGGTGAATTTCAGAATTTGGACTCCTAAATCGTAATAAGTAATCATTTTTTTTTTCATTTATAAGAAATTTATGGAACTAAATTTTTTAATTTAAAAACAACAATAAAATAACAAAATGAAATATTCAAAAAATATATATTACAATCAAACAATAATGCGAAAATATTTTCAACGATCACTTAAATACAATTCATCATTCGATCTTAGAGACAAAAATATTAATCAATTTTGAATAGTTGAGTTGTTCAACCATTTCTTTTTCAATAGATAACATGGTCAATTCATTCAATATTTGATGTGACAAAGTTAATCAGAGATATATCTTAATTAATTTCAAGTTGAAGCAACTTCTTTCTGCTGATGCAATTATAATTGATTTGGTATTTGACTTACTTGTTTCACCTTTAGCTACTTTTCTAAATATCCATTCCACAAGTAAAAAATAAAACCAAATTTTTTGTTTCTATTCTACTATATGGTTATATGATATCTATGAAGGTAAATTTGCGAAAAAAAATGCCCAAACAATCTATTAACAGAAAATGAAAAAATAAAATGAAAATAATCAATGATTATCAATGTTTCTAACTTAGGTATAGCGTGAGAAGTTTTCCTTCCATTGTATGTGTATAGTAAATACATTTCGCATTCATAATGAATTCAATTTTACATAAAATAGAAAATAAACTTCTTATCTGCAAAAATGGTTAAATTTTACACACTTTCTCATTTTGCACAAGGCTCACAACTTTTAGAGAAAAACGTTGTTATTGTAACAACAGTAACGATATATTATTTAAGGTCATAAATATTTTCATAATATAACAGTAAAATGGAAAAAATTAAAATCATATTTAACCATATATTGCACTCAATTACTCCATAAGCACAAATTTACATTAATTAATAACGGATTGTAGATCGAGAAAATAAATTCAATCCCACACAAATTAATGATCCGGTCAACAGGATATTGAAAAAAATATAATTGAATTTAGAGACAAAACTATACAATAATCAATTAAATATTTAAAATTTATCAGTCAACGTAACTAAAAAAAACTAGGCTTAATAAATGATCAGATCATCAAAGATGTGTAACGATGCATAAATATATACCGAGTGGCTATTACACGATGGAATTAAGTATTCCAAATCCAGACACAAATTTTATGATTTACGATATCATTGTTAAGAAGTCTCATTGTTTGAAGCAGCTGAACAAAGATGAACGAATATAAACGACAATGAATTTTTAGAATAAAGAATGAAGCAAAATAACATTTTTTGGGCCCCCTAAAGAGGCTTCTCCTCAAATTCGACTATATTTTTTAATCACATATTTTTTATCACATTACATCATAAAATACATTTTTCTTTCTAAAAAAATGTGCATCAAACCTTCCAAAGTTCGTTGGTGACAATTCATTATGTATGTAATCCAAGTAAAAAATATTTTTGAGAGAGTGTCCTTATCAAGAATATTACTCCCCAAAATTTTTGTTCAGGCATTGGGTGACGTGATTGGTGAGGGCAGCATCGCAGGAACCAGCCCGCCAGAAAGAAGCTTTGGACCCCTTTTTCAAAAATTGAAAAGTCTGACCTCTCCATCTAGGGTGCACTGCACCATCTCTGTCTGTACTCTATTTCTAATAGTCTGTCTCTACACTGCATTTATTTGGCAGCATTTTAATTTTATTTATTTTAACTTTTTCTTTTTCACTTGATTATTGTCCTGTCTTCACCACTCATTACTACTCGTTTAATCAAATTTTAATGTATTTATAAACTTCAAATTTATTAATTATACCCGAGTATTGAGTTGAGTTTATGCCTGTGAGGAATAAGGGTTTTGCTAGTGATACCTTGGGGTATACTTGAGGGGGGTGTCACCTTTTAGGTACATATTTTGATGTACCACTAACAAAATTTGAGGAAGAATTAGACCCCTACTTGATTTGGATTAAAATTCAATTAAAATTTTGAATCAAAATCAAGAATTAATTTTAACCACACATTTCATCAACTTTTATTAAAATCTATTAAAAATCTAATTTTAATCTTTACACTAAAGTTCTTGAGATGATTTTTCCTAAAAGGCCTTCTTTCGTGAATATCGTTTTTAAGTTTTTTTTTTTTTTGGTCCAAAAAGCTTTCGATTTACTTAGAAATAGCCAGTATCATTTTTGTCTCTACAACGAAATCAATAAGCTAACTCAACCTAATCGTTGTGTAAGATGAATTAGGAATGTTTTTTTTTAAAGGAAGACAACATGTTAAAAATTATCAACATAAAAGTTTTGATTTCTCATCATTTCGCGACTGTAAACTACCACCATCATAATATATTATAACCCTCATTTCAAATTGACTTAACTTTTCACGTTTTGGTTATTCAAAGAGCCGAGGAGTTCAAGTTGGAAAAGCATTTGAATGTGAATTATTTAGAGTTTATAAACAAGATAGAATCGAAAGAATCACAACCATCG